TTTTTTAAATCTAATTTCTTTCATTTTGGCTTGTCCAGACTTCGTCTGCACCTAGTACTATCAATACCGGATAGTAGGTCAATTCCTAATACGTAGTTTAGTGCCTGTTTGTGTGTGTGTGCTCACGCGTGCCAACGCATGAGTCCTCTGGAAAAAATTATTTGATTCCACATTCGAAGAGAGGATAATTTTTGGCAGAGAAATAGTTCGTATTCACGCTTCACTAATAATCTATACTCTCAACAATATACCCTCATCGTCAAATAGGAGCTCCAACATAAAATATTGGAAAAAGTACTACTCAAGCTCGTAGCAGTTTCCTAATGAATCCATTAGAATTTCATAGGCCAAGAATGAAGACTCACAAAGAAAACATGTCGAAAGCCCGAGGAGTAGCAAAGCAATGACGAAATGATATATTTAAAGGCACTATGAAATTGTTCTTCGTTTTGATTGACAAAAAATAGAGAAACGAAGCATAAGGCTGATGCATGAAGATGGTACGTGAATTCCTAATGGGAGAAGTGATACAGTATGAATAACAGCGATGAGAATCCGTTAATAAGTCAAAATGAGGCGTTTTTATGTTTTTGCATTTTTTAAATCCATATTGTTAGGTGCATGCAGAATTTATTCGATGTTTGGGGGCCCAATGCCACAGTGGGTACCCCTCTTCCCAGAGCATGATGAAGTTGGTGAAATTATTTTCGAGTCATCGCTCACATGCATGAGTGTCTGAGATCTGGGATCGCCACGCGAAGGCCACGAAAGGAGACTCACCATCCGGAAATATCCAAGTGTTCTGGTTCGTGATGCTCACCCCACCGACCACGAAATTGCTCCCAGACGGTCGATTGGCCCACAGCTGCTTCGTGTAGTCGTGCACCGCGTCGTCAGTGGAGGAGACCAGTAGGCTGCCTTCATTCTTGCACATAGTCGCCGCGTCATAACCGACGATGCTTTTCACGGTCATCTTCACGTAACGTCTCGTACCTGGCACCAGGTTGAACCCTTCCGGAGAAGTCAATCATTTTGCGTTTTACTCAACGGTATGGTTTAGAGACTAACACTCGAAACTATTTAAGAAGAAGGATTCTCTTAAAATAAATATATCCACCCATCAAAATTCATTTTTGTGTTCCTACATCATTCAGTTGCAACGTGAAATTCCCATAGTTTGGGGGACCCGGACGTTTTCGAGGCTGAATCGTCAGGGAAATGTTAAAATAAATGGATTGAAATGTGTGCATAGAAGAAAGTGAATGACGCCATTCTTGCCATGACGGTATCAAAATAATGCAACAGACTCAAATTGATTCCTTTGGGGGCCAATTACAACGGGAAAAAAAATTGCAGACAATTTAAAATAGAAAAGGCGGATCTCCTTCATTCGCCCTTCCAAAGATTCCCCGACAGGAAAATTTTGAGGATTTAAAAATGCAAAATGCACCAGCCGGCACATCTCTGTAGAGGAACTTGCTATCTGCGTCGGCAGTCCTCAGCTCGTCGTATCGGTATCCGAAGCGGCAGGTGAAAGTCCCGGAATGGCGTGTCACGGAGTAACTCAAGCACGTGGAGTTCCTGAAAGAACAACGATTGCTGAGATTCTATTTAACCCATTACATGGATTGTTCGTTTGCGTCTGCTTGCTTTGAGTGGTATAGCAGAAGAACTTTACGTCCATGTTCAACTTTATCTCTGGTATGGAGTTAATTTGGAGGAATACGACCCTGAAAAGGGAGTCCTGGCTTCAATGGCCAAAAAAGTCGAATCATTGCTACATCCTTTCCAAAACATACATTATTTCCCCATCACTCAGTCGCAGCAAGGCACATTCAAGCAAAAATGAATGGTCATTGCAAAATCAAACCCCTTCCAAGTTAGTCCAGAGACTAACCAAGACCAAGTTATTACCTCCATCAGAGGCGAAATATGACCAGGCATTAGGCTAAATCCGGCCATTTTTCAGAGAACAATCCAAATGCTTGTGAAACGTCTACGGACACGATGATTACTTTAAAACATAACGCACGAAGCAAGGCAATTTAAAAAAATCAATGTTAAAATCATTAATTACAAGCAAGGATGTCGGCATCATATACTTGACTCCAGGAGCTTCAATGAAAAGATGGATTGCAACGTTTTAGCAATGAGCAGTATTGCGCATGACTAGAAGGTCCGACTTTGGTTGCGCATTCCATGAGGAAATGCAATTTTCGTTAATTTTAGAGTTTCTCATTTTGATTAATTCCACAGCTTGAAACAAATGTTTAATTTTATTTATTCAGCTTTCGAAGGATTTCTTACTTTATCCAAGAAAGAGGTTTTCCTTAATTTTAAAGCAATAAAATACAAGAACTCCGTGAGCGAACGAGGGATCTGGCTTTCGCAGATGAAAAATGGAAAGCCACAAGCGTAAGAACCAGTTTTAAAGTTCCCGGAAAGTTGGTTCAATCCTGAATTCCTTATACTGTATGTCTACGCGACCCTTGCAAAAAGGGGCACCTGCGTCCAACTGGGCTGAAAGGCAGGGTAGATACGATATGCGTTTGGAACTAGGTAGATGTCCCAGTTGGTGGATAACCGGCTGCTCATTCGCCTAGGTGTGCTCCGATTCATGTGGATATCTTCGGTGGGTGGATTTTTAAGGAAATGGATATCCTCCGTCAAGTTGATTTACGCCTAAAGCCACGTCCACGTGTTTCAAAATCAGAGTGCGGAAGATGTTTCCTATGAGAAACGGCGCTGTGAAACTCGAACAGCCCTCAAGCACTTAATTATAGAGAACTTAAAAGGGCATTTATCCAGAGGAAAGTCGCAAGCGACTCACTGCTTGCAAGCCATGGCACACTGAAGCTCCGAAAGAACAAGAAGCTCTCGAATCGGCGACGTGATCTTCATGTTCGAATTCTGGGGGGCGAAGAACTGCTGAATCGTGATGGTCCCCATCGCCCTCCATACGAACCAAACGAGGAACCAGAGCAGCAGCTGCATCCTCCCCCGTTCCCGTTCGCCTACCAAGTAGAGGGAAAGCGGCTCGCACAGCGCATACATCCTAGTCACTTGGGAAAGGCTAACGTAACATCTTTCGTCAGCGCGGGTCGTCCATTCCGGTCGGTCGGCACGATAGAAACCTGCAACCTCGTATCTAGGAGATTTCACCAAGTCCAAACGTCCCAATCGTCCGCTTCTCCGCAAAGCAATCTCCTGCAGGCAATCAAATTACTGTAGAAGGGTGAAAATGATTCATTTCGTGTTGCATGCCTCACTCAAAGATGAAAAATTCGGGTGACTCATCTTTCAGTCACGCGACGCAGAATTTGTGGTTTCAAAGATTGTAGTGAATGGTTTTTGCGTCTTCGTATGCCATGATATTTGACGCAAACCGTTTTAGATTTTTTTTATTATCCCGGAGGAAATGCAATAACGCATTTTCGTTCCCGAAAGAAGACCCAGACATGAATTCTTCCCGAGCAGAGCTCCATGCCCATGTCTCCATGGTGATAAGGCCTGTTACAGACGCAAAGCGAAAGGAATTATTAATATGTCATGAAGAATCAACGTTCACTCCATACGCGATGATTCCTATCTTCATACTGCATACTTGTTTGTCTCATCGATAGGAAGGAGGCACATGAATCGGGCGTTGAACAGTTTCCTCGTCGATCGAGTTCGACCATCTGCCCGATTCTTACAGTTTTTTTTCCAATTGCTAGTGCCCTATTTCATATCTTGATGGACATTTTTCAAAACCTAACGTACAATCCGCAAAACTGCACTCTTTTCGCACATCCATGCGTCCGACAGTCAAAAGTGCGTCCCTTGATCAAAATCAACGTATGCTCTTTAATATTCTAACGTACCGGGTAAGGAATGTCTGGGGACAGTCAAGAAGAGACCGTGAAAATAAATATTCTGAAGATTCTCCTAATCTCAATATGCATTCCGGTTACAATATCTCTTTGGGAGGCCGGAATAGAAGCAGAAAGAGACCCTTTAACCGGTTTCCCTTATTTTTAAAAGCTCAAACTAACGTCATGCGATGAAATGCATGAAATGTACGGGTCCTTCGGTATTCCTTCTGTCATAGATTTCTCGCTTAAGTATCTAGAGAGTCAGAGTGTATATTTCTCGCTTAAGTATCTAGTCATAGATTTCTCCCCTCCCATTCTTGCAAATATCTGCTCCACAACAGATCACGGTTTCTGCCCGTCGGGCCCATTACCCTCTTACTACACCCTAATGAGGTCAGACTGTTATTTTGAGAAGTCAATTGACTTGTGTCGTCATTGAAAAGGGAGCAGGGCGTTGTACCCGGTCGAAAACCCCTCAACGAGCCAATAGAGCGAGCACAAGTTTGAAAGATTTTGAGATCATAACGTGA